AAAAAAAAAAAAAAAAAAAAAGAGTCTTGGAGTGCCTATATGCTCTCTGGAGACCCTCGTGTGAAGGGTAGGTGGATCCAGCCTGTGCTGGTCACCCCCATTTTCTGAAGTAGGACCCACAGATCCATGAAGAGTGCCTGTATGCTCAATAAATGTGGTTGTCACTGCCCTCAGATAACTCTGTGGCCTCTGTGGCCTCCAAGAAGAAGGCTTGCAGTGGTTTGAATGTGCATGGTCCCCACAGGCTCATACGTCCGAATATTTGGTCCCCAGTTGGTGGGACTGTTTGGGAAGGATTAGGAGGCGTGGTCTTGTTGGAACAGGTGCGTCACTGGGGCAGGCTTTGAGGTTTCAAAAGACTTCCACCTTTCCCAGTGTTTCTTTCTCTGCTTCCCTCCAACTTGTGGATCACAATGTGACCACTCGGGCCACGCTTTTGTGCTGCCGCTAACCCTCTGAAACCATAAGTCCCAAATTAAACGTTTCCTACATTGCCTTGGTCATGGTGCTTCATCACAGCAATAGAAAAGGAACTAAGACCGGACTGGAGGAGCTACTTGCTTGGCTGTGGCCCCAGGGGCACTGTTCTGTCCTCTGCAGCTTCTGTAGCCTCCGGTATCTCTGGGACCTGGTCGTGGCAGCAACTCCCAGATGTCTTCCAAAATTATAAACTGCATCTGTAAACAGCCATGGCCTGGGTGCAGGCCTGAGCCTTGGACAGCCACATTCAAAGGTGTCCCACACCTCCCAGGAGAGTGAAGGGGCCACCAGCCATTCCCAAAGGCTCAGAGAAAGCTCCTGGAAGCCCCCAGAATCTGGACAGCAAGCCTGGAGTTCAGAGGACACCCCAAGGGAGGCTAGAAGGGCAGCTGGCCCTCCTGCTTCGTCTTCTGGCACCCATGGCCAACAGTGCTCAGCTGGCCTCCCACGTCAGGTTGTCTAGGCCTTGGGCAAACTGAGGCCCAGAGCTCCCTGGAAAGGCTGTGAGGCGTGGGAGGCCCACTCATTAGACAGGCTACCGGTGACACAGACAGGCGCCCGTAGGTTTTGGTCTTCCTCCAGGTGAGGGTGGTGGTAGGGGCTGAAAGCTTGCAAGTGACTGTCCCTGCTTCAGGATGAGGAGCCCCCCCCCCGCCCCCTCCCCCCGCAGGTGCTCCCCATCCGGGCTTCCTCTGTGGGAAAGCTGCCTTCAGAAGCTCACAGAACAAGGTGCGGGACACATGATGGATGGGCACCAGGGGGCCTCGGCCTGCCCAAACTGGGCAGGTGGGAAGGAACTGCCAGCGCCTAATGGGCCTGTGACAAATGGGGTGGGGTGTTCCGGGGAAGCTTCCTCTCCATCCCCACCCCGAGAAAGACTCCAAGGGTGGGGTGGATCCAGTCCAGCACACAGGGGTCATCATAGGAGTCTGGGGGAAGCCCAGGACAGGGCTGCGTCCACTGCCCTGAGTTCTTGGGGGGCCAGTTTCAGGATCCTCAGCGTGGAGGGAGGCAATTAGGGGGAGGGCCTGAGGCCTGAAGTGGGCTCCCAGTGGCCCACGCTCTCCTGACTGGCCAAAGCAGCTGCTGAGCTCAGCTCTGGCTGACCGAGGGCTTTAGGGACCATTAAAAACATTCTGGGCCGCCGGCCGCCAGAGACATCAATCTCTGCTGGACACAACCCTGCTGCCCTGCCCCCCCTCCCCCCTGCTTCCTCCAGAAGAGCTTCCTCTGCTCTCCAGCCTCATTTTGGCCTCTCTTGGCTCCTGTCCTCCCAGATGAGGGCCCCTCTGCTCTGACACACTGAGAGATACCCATCCTTAGCGCTTCGGGGACACACGCTGCTGAGGGCCACCCTGCGGGACACTCGGGGGGTGGGGGGTCCCACTGACAGGAGGCCCTAGAGGAGACTCAGGAGAAGGAGGTCCCCAGCCAGGGAGGTGCCATCAGAGGGTCAGAGGACCAGCATAGGAAGACGGAAAGTTGGAGGTGACAGTGGGAACGGTCCCAGCAACACTATACTTAATGCCACTGACTTCTGCTGAAAATGGCTGACAGGGAACTTTGGAGGTTTTTTTTTTTTTTTGGGGGGGGGGGTTTGAGACAAGGTTTCTCTGTAGCTTTGCAGCCTGTCCTGGAGCTGCTGTCTTGTCCAGGCTGGCCTCGAACTCACAGAGATCCTCCTGTCTCTGCCTCCCGAGTGCTGGGATTACCGGCGTGCGCCACCACCGCCCGGCTCTGGAGTATTTTCTAACAGGCTGTGGAGGTCCAGTTCCAGCCTGTCTGGGCAGGATATGGGGCAGTTGTCTGACCGTACTTCCTGGGCTAGGGTGGGGCCAGGCCGCCCCACCAAGGGCTCAAGAAGTTGAGGAAGCAGTGATGGAGGCCCCTGGGTCACATTAACTGCTCCCTGGAGGGACTGCAGAGGAATAACGAGCCAGGAACTTCCTGGGAGGCTGCTGTGGAAGCTGTGTGCAGTTCCATGGGGACAACCATCCTAGGCCTGCCTCAGGAGTCCTGTGGGCAGAACAGGGCTGGAGGACATGCCATTGCCACCCTGAGAGCCACTAACAAGGGAATAAAGCAGTGCTGGGCCCAGGGGACAACCCACCCGTGGGAAGGGCACCTCATGGTGGGACTCAGTCCCTGCTGCCCACGCTTGCGTTCAGCCTGTAAGAGAACCAGGAAACACCATCAGGTGGCTGGGAACAGGCCAGGCCGGAATGATCACTGGGACGCTGCTGTCACCCACCTGCATGGTGCTCTGGGATCCCTGGGAGGTGCCAACCGAGGTCAGGGGTGCTGATGTGGTAGGGATCAGGGCTGAGTTAAAAGAGCTATTTTGTCCTCCCTGCCCTGAGTCCCTGAATCCCCAGGCCCCCTGGACACTGGGCCAAGGTTTGCTGACCTGGCAGGGGCAGAGGACCAAGCTGCCACTGAGGCTGAGGCAGGCGCCAGCAGCCCAGAGGATTTACTCACTCACCATTGATCGGCCAGGAGGCTCTTCTGAGGGGTATGATGATGCTTGTCCTGGTCAGAGAAATGGCCGTGCTCAGGGGTGATTGATTGAACCTCCCCTTTAAGAATATTCAGAAAACTAGGTTCCAAGAACAGGCAAGTCCCGGGCCCTGGCCAGGCCAGTCGTGAGATGGAGAACACAGGAGGCCACCTATAGCCTCCATAAGGTAGAAGGCACAGCTGCAGGACAGGGGACAGATGCTGGGGACAGAGAGGGGCCTGGCTTCAGGCAGATGCCGTCAACTGCCTGAACACTCCAGGAGGTAAGGATCAGACCTGGTTGGGCTCCATATGCTGTGTGACCCTGGAAGGTCTCTGAGCCTCTCTGGGCACCAAAACAGGAGCCCAAGTCTAGCCCAGGACCTGTGAAGTAGATCAGAGTCCCAGGTACCTCCCCTCTGTCCCTCTGCTTCCTCACAGTGGCCAGGTGACTTTTTATCCATAGGTCCTCCTTTGCATCAGGTGAACTGCCTGCCTAACATCCTCCCCACCCCACCTACCCACACAGTGCTACTAAAAGCCTCTTCAGCCAGCCTGGGGAATACCTATGCAGTCTTCAAAACCCTCCCACTTCCGGGTACTCTGTCCTGGTGCCTGGGCACCCAGTAGCAGGTGCTGTCCTTGTCCGTGTGTGGCCCCTCTCGCTCCCTGGTTTATCAGGATGGGGTGCTTGCCAAGGGAACCGCTGGGGCCCGGCTCCTCCGTGATGAGCAAAGACTTCACTTGGGTCAAGTGGCCTGACAGATCATGTGCATTATAAAACATAGAGGATACCTTCCAATCCATGCTGTCTTGGCACGTGTCTGTTTTGCCCCGACCACTGCTGGTAAGGAAATGGAAGCCGGATGTGCTGAAGCAGGAGTTATACATCTCCATTGGAACTATAGCTCCCCTAGACTCTTAGGCAGCTAGTTTCCTGGCACGGGATCCAGTCCTGCAACCTGGGAAGCCCTCCTGGCCATGATACCTGACAGGCAAAGTCTCTGAGGTCAAGCCAGTACCCTTAGGTTCTGTATGAGAGCTCTGTCCGTTCCAGCTGCCTTCGTTGCCATTCACTGATGGTGAACAGCCCAGAACTGTGTTGTTACCCCACAGTCTGGTGCAAGCTCCCACACAGTCTCCATAAGCCCACCCCGATGGATCGGGGACCCCCCGAGGAGACGGTAGAGTGGTAAGGCCTAGATGCCACCAACTGATTGTCTGGCCTCTGTGTCAGGATGGCGCCCCTGGTATGACTACAGGGCCAGGTCAGCATTGCCTCTCCCAGAGGGGCTGAGACCGGCAGGGGTCCGGATGATCCACTATTGATGAGGAAAACAGGAGGGAGCAGGCCCAGGCCTGGGTCAGCAGATCTGCTGCATGCAGGATGTGCCTGGCTATTGATCTGATAGGCTGGATTGGCCTCTTGG